GTCCTCTTTTGGAAGGACAAACAAAGTAGTTTCGCTTTCACAACAAAATACACAGCAGCTTGAGCGAGCGGCCCCTGTCGGATTCGACGAAGGATGCTTGCGGCAACCACATGTGGCGACCCCGGGCTGGACTCCGCTTCCAGCACGGATCAGCTCCAGGCATGACGAAGCGGATATCGTCCTCTTTTGGAAGGCCAAAGAATATCTCTTTGGATTTGAGACTTTAGTCTTTGCAACTTTACAGATCTTCTTTATGCACCAAGAGCTTGTAACACTCCAAAGAGAAAGGAAAAATTGAAATCGCATCATATGACCCCTTTAAAATACTCATATGCAGTGGCGTCGCTAGGGATTCTGTGCCCATTGCACATTTTGTTGCGGGCATTCAGGGGGGTGTTTGGCGATCACTAAATCACGTTCAGTGAAGGGGTGGTAATTATTCCTAACTTTTATATTATTTTTGTTTTTTATTTTTTCTGTTTTAATTTTACTTTCTAAAAAATCTTACTGCTTACATTTGGGAAGTCTTCCAGTTTTGTGGAATTGCACACACCAGTCACTAGTCAGGTGACCACACAAAAAATTGAGAGGTGACACAACATTTGACCACAGGATTTACAAAAATCATTGCACGTTTTACAGAACATATGACGAAAACAATAATGTGCAGTACAAACTTTCTGCAGTGTAAACTCTACATTTATTATTGACTGCAAAGAATTACACATCAAATCTAACAAAAACGTTTGGAGGTATGCTTGTTTTCTTAGCATTACATATGTAATCAACTCCTGATGAACACATTTTACTTAGTTTATGAATTATCACTCAGTCATTTAACCAAGTATTATATGTCTTTGGAAGGCTATTCAAACACATTAAAATGCACAAATTCACATCATTTATAATGCAGGGATTCCCAATTTTATTGTATTTTTTTTCATATAAACCTCCTTCACCTAATATATTTTCTTGACGTATGTCTGAAAAGTAACACATTTGCATGTTCACGGTTCTCTGGCGTTGGTTAATGGTCACATCACATCCAGGTAAACAAATAAAATATTTCATCTCTTTTAGTAAGTGTTTTATTTTACTTATTGCTATTTTTAAAAATTATTTATTTTAATTTTACATTTTTATGATTGAATTAAATCAATATGGTACAACATTATCCTAATGAAATCAATGTGATAAGTGAGTTAGGTCAAAAGTAATCTAAAAGTAATCTGATTATATTACCTGAAATGTGTAATGGATTACGTTACTAACTACAATTTTTGACATGTAATTTGGAATCAGTAACGGACTACAATTTCTACCCAGCTCTGTTGTCAAGCTATTTGGTTATATGTCAACTGCACAGCTTACCAGGGTTTACTGACGAAGCTCAGACTGCAGAAAATTACGTATTATATATTACAGCAAATGACATGAGATGCTAAAATATTTCAGAAATTTGGCGGCAACTTTCCTTGTGAATGTGACGGTTCTTCAGTTCACCACTAGATGTCGTTCTTACTCAAATAAGCACTCATCTTTTTGTCAAAGCTCGCGACAACTGGAGCGCTCTGACGACAGATCTCGCGAGAGCTTGTGAACGCTTCCTCTTGGTTGGATAGCGGCTTCCTGGCCGGACTTTTTTCCCCCTCCTTTTTTTTCTTGGGGGAAATTTCAACTTCTGTTTTCGCGGGTGCTCCAGGCCAAACAATTTCGGACAGCGTTTCGCGGTCGGTCTGCTGGTTGCGAACGACAGGCCTGACTTGTCTTTTGCCGCCTTTTGTCTGTGGGAGCGCTCGCGAGCCAGAGGCCGAATCGAAGCGACATTCCAGCGATGAAATAAACTGCATTTTGTGCACTTTTGCGCCTGTGGCACTCGCTCTTTCTACTTGACATCGAAATATTATTTGGTATAGCTTCTGGAAGCATGACAGGGTGTTGAAATTAAGAGCTTACGAATCTCAGAAACCTCTAAAGACACAACTGCAAGGGTTTGTGTAGCAATTGGAGGTATGCTTGTTTTCTTAGCATTACATATGTAATCAACTCCTAATGAACACATTTTACTTGGTTAAATGACTGAGTGATAATTCATAAACTAAGTATTATATGTCTTTGGAAGGCTATTCAAACACATTAAAATGCACAAATTCACATCATTTATATAGTCCAAACATGCATGCCAAACTGACTGCATTAGTGTGGTAAAATTAAAATAAAATAAATGCTCTTCCATCTACACGTGACCCTCTAACACTAGCACTATCCTCTTTTGGAAGGACAAACTATTTCATCTACTTGTTTTCTTTTTATTTATTAAAAAAACACGACCTTTTAACACTTGCACTCTCTATTCTAACTACTAGTTTGTTTTTGTTTTTTTTAATAATAAGAAAAACCTTGCCACATGTACTGCATTAGACTAACCAAGACTTGTCACAGCACTTACATATAATTACTCTTTTGTTGGTTTTGATTGCTTCTATTGTCCTCATTTGTAAGTCACTTTGGATAAAAGCGCATGCTAAATGACTAAATGTAAATGTAAAAAATAATTTTAGATTTGTGCATTGGTTGTGTCCTCTGCCTTGAAAGTGTACACAAATGTGCTTTTGCGATAAATAGCTATTCATGTCACTTTGATTCAGAATTTTTTTTTTTCACTTCCAAAATTTGCAGTGTGTACTTAGCAGTATTTTTGAATGGGTTATACTGTATACAGAAAATGAGCAAAGAGTGCTCCCTTTATAATGACTGATGATGCTCTGCAATCATTTCAGTTCTGCACTCCAGTTATAATCAAAAAAGCTGTCTACACTGCACATTGAATCTCGTTTACATCATGTCTACAATTTGTTGAATATAATTAAAGGATTCATGAGAGACTCGCAGGTGGAACTCAGAACTCCGGCATTTCAAGTGGTATTGAGCAGATTCTCACTTACGTTAACACGTCTGATTGGACACTGCGTTCTCACGCTCAACAGACACGTCTGTGATTGGCTACAATGCTCAACACTTCAAAACCACATTGTAAATAGAAACCTTTGACGCTCTCCTCTTCACAGAACATTCACACAAATATTCACTGGACCATTTGAAAGCAGCTGCCTGTCAGCGGGTATTGAACTGACCTAGTAGTCGGTTGTTATTATTACATTTTTACATTTTCAGTACTGACTGACAACACTACAACAAACAAAGCCTTACTGAAGAAAAGTTCAGTTTGAATATCTGTTATGCTTTATATGCTTTCAGACTTTAATGAAAAAAACTGCTTGAATGATACATTTATTTTTTTAGAAATTCTAAATTTTTTTATTTTAGAGGGAAAAAAGAACAGGAGAAATAATCTGAAAACACAAACATTTTTCCATAATTTGTTTTCTTTTTTCCATTCTCATCCAGGCCTGGAAATTACTAAAATCTGTGTAGGTGTCACAGCTGGGTTGCTGTAATAATGTGCACGACGAGGAAATAGGAAATCAACCAACAATACAGAGAAACACAACTGTTAAACACAGACAAGTTCGGACAAATAACCAAAAGACACAGGGAGTGTATAGATACACAGAATAACGACAGAACTAATGAGTAAATGAACAGCAGGTAAATAGAATGATTAACTAATAGGTAACCATAGAAACTGACAAGAACTCAAAACAGAGCTAAACCGAACATAACCGTGACAGTAGGAACCCTGTCAGCATTTTTGGTGGACCCCTCTCACCCCGACCTGTTTGCACTTCTCCCCTCAGGCAGATGCTACAGATCTCTGGGCACTAGAACATCTAGGCATAAAAACATTTTTTCCCACAGGCAATTTCCACAATTTCCACCTTAAATAACTAACACACCAATTTACGACTTGCTCTTTGTTAAAAATTATTCAGTGCTCTTTTGGCGTTAGGCAATATGTAAATACATATTTTTACTCATACAGCTGTATATACAGTACATAATGCACACATCTGTACATAAACCGTCAGATCTAATGTAAGTTACTTTATTGTTTTATAAAATGTATTATTATTATTTTTTTTCTTATTTAAATGTTCTATGTTCTTCTTTATCTCGTGTTATATATGTATGTATGTACCCAGAGCTCCTGGAAACCAAAACAAATTCCTTGCGTGTTTGTGCATACTTGGCCAATAAAGCTCATTCTCATTCTTTCATAAGAACACATGTACATTTAGTACATTATGTTCTGTAAACTTGCATTCACATTTATAACATATGCACATATTAACATAAACAGAGATGAGGCTTATTTCAGGTGTAATATAAGCAGATTAACATCCAATGCATATTTTCTAACACAGGAATCAATTTGTTTTGCAAATGTCATTAAACTCTGAACTCCTGTGAGTCTCAGAGTCAGTCTATCTTTATCTCTACCATGATATAACCATGTGCATAAATGACCTTTGTTCCTATAAATCACACGGCCATAATAAGGGTGTTGCCCTCAGTATAAAAACACCTGATGATCTATTTGTCTGCAAGAGTTTCAAGTCAATTGAACAAGAAAGCTTCATTAACACAGTGAGTAGATCCATTTTAAAACTGAATTATTGCCTAATTACTGTCAATATCTCTCCATATTCATAAGATTATTGATTAAATGAATGTTTTTTTTACACAATGACATGCTTCTGTAAAACAATGTCTTTTGTGGAAGAAATAATTTTGTTTTGTATTTTATTTAGCAACAACCTGCTTGTTAACCTGGAAAACTTGCCAGCTTGAAAACCATTTGTGAAAAATACTCAACTGTCATCAAAAGAGTAAGAAAAGAATCATGCGAACAATAATAAGTTAATCAATTGTGGCATAAAATTAGTTTAGTTGTCTTTACTGAATGGGCGTTCTCGCTGAACTAAGCAAGCAAACCATCATACATGGACTGCATTAACACATGATCTGTGCAGTTTTTGTTATTTTGTTCTGTGTTTAACATTGCAGGAAAAACATGGCGAGTTTAGAAAAAGAGTTGTGCAAAATTACTGAACTCATCGAGAAAAGCACCATAATTGAAGAAAGAAATCCTGCTCGATACCGTCTAAAACTGATTACACATGATTTGGATCCATCTGAACCATACAGAAAAATGACCTTTGGTAAGAGAGACTCAAAGAAACCCCATAAAACCCTTCTGATGGTTGGAGAAACAGGAACAGGAAAAACAACCCTGATCAATGCTATAGTCAACTACATGTTGGGTGTAAAGAGAGAAGACAAGGTTTGGTTTGAGATCACAGATGATCAGGGTAACTGGAAAGATCACAGCTCGACAGCCATCATCACTGTCTATGGTGTTTATGACCAAAAGATTCCAGATGACTTAACAATCATTGACACACCAGGATATGGAAATACCCATGGTATCACCTTTGACAAAGAAATTGCCATGAATTTGCTTCGCTTATATGAAGATGGCCTCCATGAAATAGATGCAGTGTGTTTAGTTATTGACGCATCTCAAACTCGACTCTCTGACAGACAAATCTACATATTTGATGCTGTTCAGTCCTTATTTGGAAGAGATATTGCTGAAAACATTGTCTTGCTCTTCACACACTCAACTGGAGCTCCACCAAAAAATGCCCTGCTGGCTGTAAAAGAGGCTAAAATAAAGTGTGCAGTAAATGACAAGAAAAAGCCAGTGTATTTCCTGTTTGACAACTGTCAGTCAGACGCTGCTGATGAAGAACAAGAAACGATCCCGGAGCAATCATCAGAAGACTTTAAGGAAAAATCATGGAATCTCAGTCATAGTGGAATGATGGGATTTTTTACGTTTCTTGAAAACATAAAACCAAAAACCTTGCACATGACTCAAGAAGTTTTGCAGAAACGGAATCAGTTGGAAGCAAATGTCTCCAATCTAAAGCTACGCATTCAAGTGATGGACCAAAAGCAAAATGAGCTGAAACAAACTCAAGCAGCTCTGGAGATGAACAGGAAATATGTAGAGGAAAATAATGACTTTGAGTATGAAGCTGAAGTTTCATATAAGGAGAAGATTCCCATCAGTTCAGAATTTTGGCACTTGACCAAAGCGGCGACATGCTGCACCGTCTGTCAGGAGAACTGTCATTATCCAGGATGCTGGTGGGTCATAAATCTCTCATGGTGCAGCGTGATGAAAAAGAATCACTGTACAGTGTGCACTAATAGATGCCACTACAGCAAACACGTCAAAGAAGCAAAAATATATGTTGCAAAGACAAAGAAGGAGAAGAGGACATATGAAGATTTAAAGAAGGGATATGATGGTAAGATTGGAGACGGTATGTCTTTGGTCAAGAAGCTGGAAGAAGAACTGCAAGAATTAGAAAAAGAGAAAATAAAGCTGTTAAATGAAGCTTATTATTCTGTGGAAAGTCTGGAGATGATTGCACTCAACACTGATTCTCTGCTCACACTCCTGCACATTGATTTTCTGATTGTGAAGTTGAAGGAAATTAAAGAGTCTGAAAAAGCTAAAAAATTAGAAGACATCAAGAAGAGAGCAGGAGAAGACAACACTGAAGGATTGAAATACATAAAAGGCTTCAGCAAAAATAATATATATTGAAAATTAAAGCATAAAAATTCCTGATGTCAACTGATAATGTTGTGCAAGGTTTTTTCTGCACCAAAAGCAGTCAGAATTTAGCTTTACATAACCTGTAAAGGTGTCCTTTTTTCCCCGTATTGTACCTTTTAAGAATTTTATGTAAATAGTTACTTTTTGTAACTATTATTGCTTAACCTCTTAACATCTAAAACCAGTGCTTCTAACCAGCTGCACAGTGCTAACTTGCTTTTAAAGACCACTGGTTCACAGTTTTTACACCCCGCACTGTTGACTGTTTACACATTTTGTATGTTTATTAAATATATGTTTGCATTTTATTTACCATTTAAGGATTTATTATTAGATTAGGTATTAAATAATCTAATCTTTTTTTAAAGGTGTTGTTGTTGTTACATGTATAATGTCAAAATCCATATTAAGGTCTTGTATCATTTCCCCAAGTAATCACTCCCTTCAGTCTTCTGAATGGTTTATATGTTTAATACGTTCTTATAGTACTATATATTACATAAATTGCAAATAATATAGATTTCATTAACATTAGTCCACTATATATTTAATTTATACATATATATAGTGTTCCTGTGGCTCAGAGGTAGAGCATTGTGTTAGCAGTGCAAAAAGTTGTGGGTTCAATCCCAGGGAACACACATACTGGTAAAAAAAATGTATAGTCTGAATGCACTGTAAGTTGCTTTAGATAAAAGCGTCTGCTAAATGCATACATTTAAATTTATATATTTCAGGTAGCACTTTATTTTACAGTACGTGTACTTCCCTGGTACATACATGGTAAATATCTTGTACCTACAGGCAAATGAGTGGTAACAAAAGGTACTTACCTGAAGTGTATGTACATGGTAACTAATAAGAAACACGGCTGTACTTAAGTCATACATGCATGGTAATTATTTTGTACATACAGACAAGTGTGCGTAATAACGGTCACTTACAGGTAGTGTCTGTACATGGTAACTAATTAGATTATTTACTGTACTTACTAATGTATATACATGGTAAATATGTAGTAGTTAGGGACAAGTGGGTACAAACAGGCACGTCCTTAAAGTATCCATATATGGTAACTAATAAGACACATTACTGTATATACTAATGATATGTATATGGTGTAGCACCTACGGAAAAATGTAGTATTATGTGGTAACAAACAAGACACATACTGTACTTGGTATATACGTGTTAAATATGTAGTACTTACCAACAAGTGTGAATAATAATGGTCACTAACAGGTAGTGTCAGTATATGGTAACTAATAAGACACATTACTATACTTACTAATGGTCTATACATGGTAAAGTTTAACAAAGTTTGAAGAACTGGTAATTCCTGTGTAATGTTTATGTAAAATGGTGCACTTTATTTTACAGTCCTATTTCCATATACTTACTATGTACTTACTGGTGTATGTATCTATTAGTTAATGTACACAATAAGTTATGCGGTACTCAAGTTGGGGGGTATAAACATGGACCAAGGTACTTATTGAGTAATTGATGGTAGGTGCCATTGCAGTTTACTTGCCTTATCTTTAACGACACTGATTCTCTTAACTAATTGGTCCAATAGGGATTTTTGATGACGTACATTCCTAATAATTATGTGTGTAGACAGATTTTATTTTGGAATTTGTTGTGTTTTTTAATCGACAAAGAAACAAATAAAACCTCTAATTCACATCTTCGATTTCCCCAAGCAGTTGCAATAAATAAATACCGCCTTACCATATTTAGAGATGCGATCAGGGATTCCTGGTAATTCCTCACCGATGTCAGTGTCTTCTCAGCCTGAGTTGTTCCTCTATGGAGCTTCTTTGGAGATTTTCAAGTTCAGATAATAAAAATACTTAATAATAAAATAATTGTCTTGTTTGAAAGTAATTTAACGCATCGCCATTAGAAAGGGTTTCACTTTATTAAAAACAATAACTCATAAGTATTAAAAAAGTACAAAGTAAACAGTGGAAAGTCTTCAACCCGAATTGCGGCACAAATGTGCTCCAAACATATATGTTTATAGTCATGAATGAAAAACGTCTTCTCTTTTCCGTTTCTCCATATTCAGACAACACACACGCACACACCCAGTGCTCTTTGTGTGAGCATGGGTTGCTATGACTACGCAGTTCAGGAAATGCAACCTTTGACACAGTTAGCAAACTCATAGTATCATAAGTTCAAATAACATTATTACAGCATCTTTCTAGAAAAGCAAACTAATCTATCTCTATTTTTAATCTAAACAGTTACAACATCTTTAAAAGGTGTAAACTAAGCAAATAGCAGTTGCTAAACTCCTTCTTGTACAATCGTTAGTATAGTAAGCAAAAGTATACAAACGTGGCAGTTTTAGCTGTTGAGCAAAAACCCTAACAGGATATACATTCTAATACTGCCTTTTAAGGCTTTTCAGATGTCATATGGCAGATGTCTGTAACTTCAAAGATCTAATCTCATCTGCTAACGATTGGAACTCCAAATTAAAATTCGCCACATCAAACAATTCATTCAGGATTCTCATCATTTTCCTATTCAAATTCTCCTGTTTTCGCAGACATTGAATTATTTTCTTTATTTTAAAGATGAACTGCTGCTGCTCCAGTAGTTGATGTCCCGTCTTGTCTCCCTCTGCGTTTCTTCTTCTTTTCCCTTTTAACCGTTCTGCTCCAGTCTTTTTGAATGCCTTGAACAAGCAGATCATCAAAGTACATTTCTATTTTACCTGGTCCCTCACCATTTCCAATTGAGAATTGATTGGGGTAGGGAAATTTCGCATTTGGGTCCTCCGCTCTATCGACAAATTATACAGTATCTACAAGACTCATATTTGCACTTGCAACTCCTGATTGTCATGTGTCTAAATCCCTATTTAAAAGGACTGAGCCTGCTAAGTATTAACACTATGCAGTGCTGCACAGTTACTACCATGTTCCCAACCAACTTCCAAAGTCCAAACTGCAATGGCACCTACCACCTACCAATTACTCAATAAGTACCTTGGTCCATGTTTATACCCCCCAACCTGAGTACCATATAACTTATTCTGTACATTAACTAATAGGTACATACACCAGTATGTACACAGGAAGTATATGGAATGTAAGATAACTGTTAATTTTGTAAGGGAATTAATTATTATTATTTTAGCTCAGGTTTTCAGAGGGGGGGAATCGAATCTTAAGATTCAAAATCAACCTGATTGAACTGATTCCAAAATTGATAGGTCATCCAGTAAGACGTTTACCTCAGTATATTTTACCAATTTGAATATTTGTAATATCACAGGTTAATACATGCTTGTGATAATTTATAGGATATGAGCTAGGTAACTAGATCTGGGCAGGGTTTAACTTCAAAATTTCACGACACAAGACAATAATTCTTATAATGAAACAACAATTTATTGGTTATTCTAGATTACATTAAACTAAGCTAAAACACACACACATACACACAAAAGGTTCAGGAAAATGAGTTAACGGAGTTTGCATGAAGTTCCCAAAGTTCTAACACTCGTTTTCCATGAGTTCTTTAAATTCAACCTGAGAGAATCACAAAGCAGAGATTTGTCTTACGTTTAATACCTAAGATCAATTCAGCACCGATTTCAGCAGATAGCAGACTCTTGTTTGTTACTTGCGTTTGTGCTGAAAAGCTTCCTGATCTGCCATTCTTCTCGCTCGGACATGGAGCTATTAATCAGTCGCTTTCTGTTTATCGGATTATCAATTTATGCGTTAAACGATCATGGGGTCCAGGAGTGTCTGTCGCTGGAACATTTCCAGATACCAGGTTCTTTGTTCTGTGGTTTATTAGATAGTTTATTTATGCTGAAGCCAGTCACGAGACAACACTGACGTTCTGTTGCTTAAATGAGTCCAGATGCAGGGGTCAGTTATTGCTGTCTTAGTGCTTGCCGACCCAGGAGGTAGTTTTGTAAATCACTCTCTCCTTGTGTTTCTTGTAAAGATAAGCTGAGCGGGCCAGGAACTTATTTGAGACAATTGGCGCCTGGGCTGACCATGTTTTTATGGGGTTTTTTTATGACTCTCACATGGTTGGGAGGAGACCTTAGTTTTTCCGGTGGAATGCGGAGATTCAATCGTTCATTTGTGTCTGTTCACAGAGGCCCTACAGGAAATAGGACTGTAAAATAAAGTGTACCATTTTACATAAACATTACACAGGAATTACCAGTTCTTCAAATTTTGTAAGCACTGTTGTGGAGAGCAATTTAGCATTAACAGTCCAACACAAGCAACTGAAAAATAGTCCTCTTTTTATTGTCTAAGGTTAGGACTTACCTGAAACGAAGCTTTATTCCAACATATTGTTCTAACAAACATGTATTTACAGATGGTGAATCCACATCTACTGCATCTCATCACAGCTGAGACAGTTCTGCAGCTTTATTCTGATGAAGCAGCTGACCGCTGTGTAAAACAGAGTAAAACATTTTACAATTAATGTTATCAGCATTTCATTTCATATGTTTACAATTACATGCTAATTTTTTGTCATAGCTTCATTACTTTTGTGGTGTAGTGGGCTAAAGCACTGAGCTGGTAAGCAGAAGGTTACTGGTTCGATCTCTGCAGTCGTCACCACTGGTTGTGTCCTTCAGCAAGGCTCTTTACTCTAGGTTACTGCAGGGGGATTGGGGTCCCTGTAATAAAAGCACTGTAAGTCACTTCGGATAAACTCTGCAGTCGTCACCACCGGTGTGTCCTTTAGCAAGGCTCTTTACTCCTGTCACGAATCCGGTCTATGAACTTTCGTTCACTCACCACCAGAGGTCACCCACTCACTACATGGACTGTTACACTATATCCTGGACTACATTTCCCATCATCCATTGTACTGATTGCACACAGCTGTAACCAATCACATGCTCACCTGAAAGCTATTACACACACTATATAACACCCACCCAGATCCTGCTCAAGTCGCAGAGTATTGTTCTGTGTTTATCACTCCCT